AATCAGGAGCAGTACAGAGGCCCAGCTGAACTGGGAATAAATGGTAACTTGACTACAACAATGTAGCCCCCTCTAGTTTAGGTAGAATTTGTGTGTGTTTATTTAAGAGGCTTGCTAGAAACCTGGGTATGAGTCAGCCTGGAAGTGAGTCAGTGAGGTCACTTCCACTTTGGTTGGAAGGCTCTACAGGTCAGGGCTTCTGGAGCCCTCCCACCCTTCTAGAAACTGCTGGTACTTTCTAGAAGAGGAGTAGAAGAGGGAAGGAGGCCTAGATTTACATGTTTGAGGGAACCTGACCAATCCCCAGGCAAGAGGCCTGGCATGGTGGCTAGGGTAACCCTTAAATATTGGAGAACCTAATCAGCAGGGGGAGTTGGAGTCAGGTAGAAGATGGAGTGAGGAAGGTGCTGATGGGAGGGGGCCCCAAAGGAGGTGGGTCTGCCTACAGGCTGAAGCTGGACAGAAGGACCTCCACTGTCCCACAGTCTACCTAGGAAAGACAACCTGTCAGTAGGGAAAGAGCCAGCCCAGTGAAAGACCTCAAAGGAGCTGCAACCCATTAAGCTACAGGAACAGGACAGTACGACTACACCCCCTGGGCCAAAGAAAGGAAAGGTAGCCAGGTACATTACCCAACTAGTTCTCCCTGGGACTACTTAATTTGTATGTCTCGGAATCCTTTGCTCAGGGATACTCTTAAGACAGCCAGGTGGATGAGGAGATTTTCATCTGAAGTCTGAAGGAGTTTTACTAAGGGGACCAAGGGGACCTCCTTGCAAAGACTGTGTGCTGCTGATTTTTGTCCTTTTTACTAAGATGTTTGTACTCCAAAGTTGTACAGTTCCATCGGGCATCCCATATACACCCTAGATTCTATCCAAGTGCCCAAATCCATCCTAATGCCCCTGTGCAGAGCTTAGGGGGACCCAAAAACTCAGCGGCCCTCAAGAGGGTAGCGCTACAACAAAAAGCATAATGCATAGTAAGTCTTCACCTCAGCAGTAGAAATGAAAAAAAGGGGCTCTGCTTGCATGTGTTTGCACCATTTCTATAGACCCATAACTATTGTTTTTGGTGTTGCACTAGCTTTATTCTGTATAATATCTATGAAAGTAATCCGATATCTACCTAAAATGTGCCGTCAATTTGTAATACAATAGTGATTCAGTGACATTCCCAAATATGTATTATTTACATTGATCTCATTTCAGCAATTTTAGACCTAACCAAATGCACAACATAAGCATTCTGCATAAATTATTTGATTGTTCATTTTGATGATTTACATTTTCTTTATAGCAAAAATACCTTTTGATTGGTTTTAAAGGGTAACATTGAGTGAAAGGGTAAATCCCTTATTTTCAGCAATGACATCCAGTTGGATTTTTAACTTAAAAGAGAAGTTGGGGTATTTTTTTTCCCCAATTATACTTACCTAGGTGAATGATGTATCGGACCGATGATACATCTGTCCCCCTCCAGCTCTAACAGTGAGAACTCAGCAATCACATGACCGCTGATTGCTGAGTTCTCACAGTCGCTTTGAGCAGAGAGCGGTGATTGTCAGTCACAGCTATCTGCTCAACCCCTCTGCACTCACTGGAGTTCTGGGCTGTGCAGGGAGGGAGTGGCTGGCTCAGGCTCTCAGTGCTTTTCTTAGAAGCTGAGCCATGTGCTGTTCTAGACTCTGGAGTAGATCCCGACTTTAAAGTCGAGATCTTTCCCCAGCCTGGACCGACTGAGTGACGTCAACCAACAGCAGACTTCAGCCCTCTGTCAGCTGAAAATTTGTCACAGGAGTGCAGAACGAACTACACTCCTGTGATCCAAAGGAGAAGTACAGCCAAAAGAGCTTTGACTATACTTCTGCTTTAATCTATATCTCACCAGTACTTACAAAAGTACATAATGATCTCCACTGACAGTAAAATCTATATAAAAGTAGAGTTTCCCTTTATATTAAGTTGTCTAAACATGAAATACAGAAAGGCTTGGTAATCCAAATGTCCTGGAGTTTGTGTGCTTTCTGTGATGCTGCTATATAAATATAATAGAATATAGTGCGCATATTAGTTGTGTTGTAAAAGAAGAGACTTACAGTCTGTACTGTAGGACAAAACAATGAAAGCCGACATTATATCTGCTAGCTAGAGACATAGATGACAGTTTTGTTACCCTAGCAAGAATGTAGAATAAATCACTTCAAATTTAACATGCTGAGGATACAGATGTAGGAAAACTAGCCTTAAAGAGAAGTGGAACTCCATGAAAATATAAAAACTTTCATTTAGTCCAGTTACATGTTTAATAAATATTTTAAAAAGTATCTTTAGACAAAACATCTTTTTTGTTTTTGGATAGCATAGGGATGAGATAAAACTTGTTGCTATCTTTGCCCCTGCAAAGAAGATTCGCTACCTCTATCTGTCTTGGTGACAATTTTCCAGATCAGAAATTGATGGGAAATTCAAGTGCCACAACATACTGTATTGCTTTTGCCTTTTTATTTCTGCAGCACACCACATCAAAACACACATTGCACGTTTTATTGTTCTGCAGCGTATGGAAGCGCATTCTCTGCAGTGCCAGGTGGAATTCAGGTTGACAATGAAACAACACAATGTATGAACAGGTCCTAAGGCTACTTTCGCACTGATCCACTGCAAAAAAGCAGCAAACCATATATGCGGTTTTCCAGCATTTTACCTAGTTTTTTACCACTTTTGCAGTGCATTTTTTAAAGGACATGTGGCTCAAAAACCACACCAAAAACGCAAAGTAGGTGCAGTTTTTATGCATTTTTTTGCCACAATTTCCATTGATTTCAATGGGGAAGTGTGTTTTTGATGCAGCAATTAGGACTTTGAAAAATGCACCTGACCTGATCAGTGTGGAAAGTTCCATAGGAATACAAAAGTCACACATTTTTTTCTTCTGCTTTTTTAATGCAAAAGAAGAAGAAAAACGGATCAGTGTGAAAGCAGCCTAAATTATTCTTTTTATAGTATACAAAATTCTGAATCTAATAAATGGGTTTTCAATGCTGGAAATAGTGAAAAATATGTTCACATTTTCCCTTGCTGCTTTTTGGCAGGAGCTACATACACTCCAATTCTGTTCACCAGTTTTTTTAAAGTAAGCTACCAAACATCTCCAAAACTACTACCATTATAATAGCTACTTGGCTCTTTTCATTTGCTATTTGTTATTTTCAAAGGTTAGGTTTTGTCCTGCTGGAGAAGGCAGAGGAACTTTGAGTCCTATGGCAGCATCAGAGTTTTTTAATGTTTCTTCAAACAACTCCTGGGGCAGGTAGAATGTGCTCACGTTTTCCACATTCCGGCAGTCTCCACTTGGTTCTGACTCTACAGCTCAGACGCAGCCCTGCTTTGTAATTATCCATTGTGGTACCTTAAAGGCCAATAGAGAGGAATTAGAGATTATTAAGGAAAGCTATATTTGGTAACGTTAATTTTAAGCAAATAACCCTGTATTGGAACAAGTACAGTTTATAAACAAGTTCTACCCTTAGGGCCATATTAATTTTTTGAGGCTCCAAGAAATGTTAGTATTTAAATAGTGATCAAAAAATGGCATGGGTATATTAGACAGTCTTCAATAAACCTATTATAAAGAAAAATGGCATGGATGAATGCCAATTGTCTTTTTTATTTCAGTATCTAATAAAAATTATAAATTATTCATGACTTCATATTTGGATCATGAATAAAATGCTTTTCAACCCTAGAGTAAAATGAATTTCAACCGTAAATGTATGCATTTCAACCATACAACATTATCTTTACATAGTTACTGGGACCCTTGAACCAAATGTAGTTGGGACAAATGACCTCCTGGGGTAGGCAGCTTTGTTTACTTTTACCAAGAATATCATTACGAGAAATTGTTAAAGATAGACTTCCTGAGGCCTCATGCACACGGATGTTTAGCTTTTAATGAGGCATAGGCTCTCTGGTGCTTTCTGGCACCTGGGGAGCTGCATGTGCTGCATACAGCTGCCATTACAATGAATGGCTGTACCTGGCCATGCTTGGGTAAATACTGATGAACACTGATGCAGAAGCCATCAGCATTTTCCCTAGCATTGCTGCATACAATCATCCAAAAGGTGGAATAACCCCTTTGTTTTTGGGATTTGGCATGAAGGTGAGAAATGCAGATAACTTCTGTTTTAAGGTGTACCTTGTAATCTAAACTTACTATTTACCTATCTGTTGGTTCCCCCCACTTTGCAAAATTGCTAGGTGAAAAAATAAAAGATTACTTACATAGACTCTAGCCTTCTAGCCTGTTTGTCTAGGTGCTGGTGATTTCACCGAGCCCTCTTGTGCTCTCCTAGGAAATCAGACCTTCTATGCTATTCTATTTTTATATCACAACATGTCAGTCCAGGTATTGCTGGGTAAGTTTATATATAATCTTTTTTGTGAATGGTTGAATGGTTCATGATATACTGTATGTTTGGTTATAAATAAATGTGTTGTGGAATTGAATATTATTGTGTATGTTTAGAAATCTCAATTAATTTTTTAATACTTGACGAGAAATATTTATCAACATAAAATGTTTAACCACTTGCCCACAGGGCACTTATACCCCCTTCCTGCCCAGGCCAATTTCCAGCTTTCAGCGCTCTCACACTTTGAATGACAATTGCGCGGTCGTGCAACACTGTACCCATATGAAATTTTTATCATTTTTTTGTGACAGATAGAGCTTTATTTTGGTTATTTTCTATTTTTTCTTAAACAAACCAAAAACCACTGAAAATTAAAAAAAAAAAAGTTTTTTCTTAGTTTTTGTTATAAAATTTTGTAAATAAGTGATTTTTCTCTCCGTCACTGATGTGCGCTAATGAGGCTGCACTGATGGGCACTGATAGGCTGCACTGATGGACACTGATAGGTGGCACTGATGGGCATTGACAGGCATAACTGATGGGCACTGAAAGGCAGCACTCATATATGGCACTGATAGGCGGCACTGATAGGTGGCACTGACTGGCACTGATAGGTGGCACTGTCTGGCATTGTTAGGTAGCACTGACTGGCACTGTTAGGCGGAGCTGATAGGCAGCACGGACGGGCACTGATAGGCGGCACTGATGCACACTGATAGGCAGCACTGACTGGCACTGATAGGTGGCACTGACTGGCACTGATAGGTGGCACTGATTGGCAACACTGATAGGTGGCACTGACTAGCATTGATAGGTGGCACTGACTGGCACTGATGGGTGACACTGAAAGGCAGCTCAGATGGGCACTGATATGTGGCACTGATGTGGCAATGATGGGCACTGGCAGGTGGCATGGATGAGCACTGAGAGCTGGCTCTGATGGACACTGACAGGTGGCACTGCTGGGGCTACACAGATCATCAGGGCACACTGATCATCAGTGCTGTGATGATCTGTGTACATGTCCCCTCCAAGGAATGCCAATTACCGGCTTTCCTCTCCTCACGAGCTGTCAGCGTGACAATAAAACTACACTTAGCTGGTCGTGCCCTCTATTTTTTATGCTTTTGCAAATGTGTACAAGTGGGATTTTCCCAAGATCCTGCCTTTAGCGAGGTGTTGCAGCTATGTTCCCTTTCATCTATGGATTCTCAAGGATAATCATTATCTTTTGCTTAAAGCACCATAGGGGCAACAGATTTTTTTCGAATTATTGTGTGATTTTTAAGGTATTATTTGTATAACCATTTTTGCTCCCACTAATCATTGATATCAGGGATTCTTGCTCCCACTGATCACTGATACCAGCCATTTTTTCCTTCCACTGATCACAAACTCTGGTGCATTTCATTATGTTCCTTCCACCTGACCACCAAAGCCAAGTATCTCCCCCTACCCCCCCCTCACACCCCCCCACACACTACACACACACACACACACATACACACACATATGTATACACTCACTGGTGCTAGGACATTTTTTCTTCTTCCCACTGATGTCAGGGTATTTTTTTTAGCCCTCTGACCACCAATAAGGGGATCCCCCCCCCCTCCTCAATGACTCCAGGACATTTTTCCCTCCACTGATTCATAAGCATTTATTTCTTACATTGCTGCCAGTGCATTTACCTCCCACTGACCACAAGTACTGAGTCTTTATTCCTTCAGCTGATGCTGAGGTATTCTTTTTCTACTAACTAGCAATTTAAGGGGACATATGATACGTACTCCTGACCACTTCACTCTGTACACTATGTTGTACATTTCATAGTTCTGACACTCTGCTGTGTATAAAGTTACATAGATCTGACCCTGAACTCTATATATTATGTAGTTTCTTACATTGTCTCAGCAGTTGCCATGTAGTGTGCTGTGTTTCCAAACTTTTTTTTAATGAAGTTCTTATTTAAGAAATTCTCAGATATTATATTTTATTAAAAAAAATATCTTTTGTCCTGAGATACATGTATATCTGTGAGACTTTTGCTCATTGCACAGTAATTAAGATGTATTTTGTATTTAGGGTGCAGACTATGTACAGTGTATAATGTACGTTTGGTTCAGACTCTGTTTAACCATCTCCATATTCACAATATTCAGAGCAGTTCAGGTGTGATCATTGTGTGCTGCATGCGTTTTCCCACTTTTCCAAGTGTCTCTCTTTCCGAAGTTCTGATTTTGGGACGTATGACATTGTGCCTAAATGTCAGCTGCAATAACTGCCTTCTTGTTCCTCTTTTCATTTCAAGGGGGGACTGCATGGTTACAGTGCATGCCTCCGCTGTTTAATAACAATGTGCAGCTCCTCTTGTGATAGCGAGGCTCCTATGAGCAGGCTGACAGTTAGGCTGGCTATAGGGACTACAGGTAAAACACAGCGCACTGAAGGTCTGATTCAATATTGGAGATGTAACTGACCACATCAACAGTGATCTTTTTCTCTGCTTATAATGGTCAGAAACCAAAAGGAAGGTGACATTGATAAAATCACTGGATAGTTGCTGTGGATTTCACACATAACATTAAGAAAAAAAACTTTTATGAGGATTAGGAGGAACAGAGGATTGCACTAACAAAGTTTTACCATGATGTACAAACATGTTAGGCCTTGTCCTTTGTGGCCTGCCAAAAACGTAGGCCTCTTTAAATTAACTTATTACGACAGTTAAGTTACTTTTTTGTTCACTCTTTAATCTGCATCAATGTATTATTGTGGGCCAGAGATGCCATCCTAGCTGCTGGGGGATAATAACAATAACTGTTATTACTTTATGTGTAAGTTTCCCTGAGCAAAGGTTGCCCTTTACTAGGATGTGCCATATTTTCATTAAACAAATGATTCCTCGACCTGCAATTTCACAGCAATAAAAACAATAATATATACTGTATGCTCTTCCACACAAGATTAAGGACAAGGGAATATATAGTTAGATCAATAAATATTTGGATAATTTTTTGCTTTGTATGCCAGCATCATCAGTTTGAAATGGAACAGTCATAATATAATTGAAATGTAGACCTTCCGCTCTAATTCAAGGAGTTGAAAAAATTTCATGAGGCGTTTAGGAATTGCAGTTCAAATGTAATTGAAAAAACTAATATAATCATAAATAAAATGCCAACGGACATCCCAAAATTATAGGGTTTCTTCGTTGCATATTCCAGGCCGTCACTGCAGTTGTTTACAGATTCTGATTTTTCATTTCTTTTCTACTTTCGGTTTTGTGAAAGACATGCTCAGTTGGGTTCGAGGTCCTCTGACTGACTCCCCATTGAAGACTTCAACCTATTTGCCAAAATATCTTGGTTTGCTTTGGGTCAGTATGCATTTGTGTTGTGTAGCACTGCCCCATCAATTTCACAGCATTAAGCTCAATATAGGAAGTTTGTATAGCCATATGTACTTCAGAATTCATCTTGCTTCTGTCAGCACTAGCAACCCAGTACTTTTGGCAGCCATACATTTCTATGACCATACACTAGAGATGTAGTATGCTTCAAATCATGAGTCATTCCTTATCTTCTCCATACTCTTCTGATCTGGCCTTCCTATTCATGAGGATTACAAGTGGAGTGCAGTTTGCATAAACCCTCAATGTCTTTTTCTGATGGTTGACTTGACTTGTTGTGAAAGGCTTTATTTTCCACTGTATGACTGACTGATAGTGTTTTAACCGACCTTATGTTCAATAGATTTTGTTTTGCTCAGTAAACAACAGGAACAAGACCAAAAGTACCTTTACAGGATTCCTAATGTTTTATTTTGCTTTAGTATACATACATTCACAATACAAAGACATAGAACAGTGATTTTAGTCTCATCCCTTAGGACTGCTGTATCAACAAGGTGTTTTACATGCAGGTACCCCGACTATTATTCAGTTTACGGCCAACTAAGAAGAAAGCTCATCTGAATCAGATGTTTACAGTTCAGTTTCCCTTTTACTTTATCTTGAGATTGCCAGCTCTGTGGGACCTTTTGTGAATCTCAGAAATGCCTAAGGCTGCAGTGACAGATCATGTACTCATCTTGCTTCTAAAGTGTTTCAATTCAAGAAAAAGGTTAGGCAGACGCACCCAAAGGACTGCAACCCTTGCCATGATCTTTGCCTAAAGGACTTTAGCAAGCAAACAGGAAATAACTTTAAGGCAGCCATAAGGCCTGGAGTATTATAGGAACAGTCTATCATTGTTTTACAAATAGCTGCAAAGGAATACTAGTTGTATTTCAGTAGGGAAGCTTTGCTATTGTTTAACTCATCAACGATACCAATATGGACATGAGAAAGTCATTACAATAATTGTTACTGAGATAAAAATATTGAACTATTTTCTCCATCGATGCTGTTATAGTGTCACTCAGCTGATCACATATTTTATTATTTCCTGGTCTTGCCTCAAAACTATCTGAATTAAGATAGATGGACACATTTTAGCACAATGTATTTAGCAAAGGCCCTTTCATGCCCCCAGTTATGGGGACTATGAAAAATTATTATTAAAAAAATGTTCTGTAAATATACAGGTGTTTGTTTTCCACCTTTACCTTTCCTTTATACTGGCATTTCAAAATAACAAATGCAATATTTTATAGGTAGGGTGAGTGATTTAGAATAGTATAACACTTTTGATACTTAATATGTTTTTTTGACAACTTCAAGTAAGGAGGAAAGAGAGAACAGTCCCTACAAATGAAGGACAAATTAGGAGTTATGCCAGGGTGCAAAAAGCAATACAGAGATGTACAAGCAACAATGCCTCTAGCCAAGCACGTCCTTTTGGGTTAATTGATATAAATACATTTAATTCTATTGTTTTCATGCTTTAACTGCTTGATTCCCAGGTGCTGTTATAAAATGGCACAGAGACGGTGGCTGTTTCTCCCAGTGCCATTTTAAAATGTCATTGGGATTCAGCAGCTTTTGTGAGTTCCAACCAAACCGTGCATGCTGGAACTACTAGCTGTCACTACCAGCCAATATACAGCACTAGTCTCACATACAGTATTGATCATGTCCTGGGATTCTGATCTTGCTATATAGGAGCACTAGTAGCAGATCACTGTAAACACAATGCTTCTGCATTGCGTTTACAGATGAAGTGACATCACCAAGCGTAGGACATACAGTATATAGTCTTGCATGATATATTCAGTACAGAATAATATCAGATCATCCTGGATTATCTATCACTTGTTCTTGCTTACATTTGTATATAGTTGCTGTATCCCAAGTTTATCAAATACAGATATTGATAAAAACTGTGACTAGCATATAAGCAATGCTAGAGTGAAGGTTTGCAGGTGGTTCCAAACATAGTTTGTCTATATCCGTGCAACAATAATTATATACAATATATATATATATATATATATATATATATGTACTGTTTATATATTGGGACAGTACAAGATTCTGTCACTGTCTAATTGGTCAGCAAAAGGACACAAGGTGTGCACTTTTGCTGAGTACAGGACTAGGGAGCATATGATTTGAATGGAGAATACTGTTTGTGCAACTTTCTGCAGATTTTGGTAGTCCTGGATGGGGCTCCACAGTTTGGAGATTGCATAGTGCCTTGGGCAGTACGAAATATCAAACTCAGTGTCCGGGTTTTGTGGAGGAACAGCAGGGTGTGTCCAGGTGCACACAGCCCTTATAATGGAGGTTTAGGAATACCTCAGGGCTCCACCCAAGAGAGACAGGAGGTATCCTATAGGAGTCAGAGAGGCTTCATGTGGCAGCCAGAGTATGATTGTCTGCAAGAGACAGTTAACAGCCTGAGGACTAGGCCAAAGGAGCTGTGTGTATCTGAGATGCTCTACGCTGTGTGCCTGGAAGAG